AATTAATGATTGTACAGAACGGCCACTCCTTGCAATCGAAGTGCGGAAGTGGAAACATGTAATATGAGACCATTGAACTATAAATAAACTGGAAGGCTAACTGCTATGATGAAGGCCTATGATTTGATGAAGCCAAAATAGTTTTTCTGAGTTATGAGCAGAAATACTTGACCCGAAACGTCGGGCTATATATCAAATTGAAGCTATTGAAAATTGCTATTCGGTGTGGAAATTTCAAGACTTCAGCGAAAAGAAAAATATTTAAGAAATACAAAAACAACTGGAAAACGGCAAATTATCGGTAATTATGTTTGTAGTTTTTCAATATTTCCCTTTTAGCTAAAGTCTTGAAATTTCTACACCAAATAGCGTTTTTCAATAGCTTCAATTTGATATATAGCCCAACGTTCAGTGTTGAGTATTTCTGCTCATAACTCAGAAAAACTAAAATGCACTGGCTTCAATTTCCCCCCCTGAGTTAGCCTTCCAGTTTATTTATAGTTCAATGTATGAGACCAGTGTTTCCACAACGCATCATTGAAATTTCCTTGATTTTGCTTTAAAATTTCCTTGAAATTCCTTGAAATTTCCTTGATTAACCGAAGTATATTTCGGCAACTAGAATCATTAATACTTATATATAAAATAAGACAGAAACAGAATGGTACATTTCTTTCGTACAACTCTTAAAAACAAATAAAGCTTTAAAATATAAAATACCAGAGTTTTAAAGGTGATCTACAGTCCGATCTGCGCATGTGCACAAAGGAACCCACTTTTTATGATACAAACAGTTTAACTTTGTTTTGGGTTCTTGCAATGCCTGATTGTTGTTTCTTGATCATTTATTATACTCTTGAAGCTTGAAAATATAAATAGTTGTCGAATAAAGCTCAATATTTTGGACGCAAAAATGTAAACAATACCCTGGTTCCAGAGGTTTAAAATAAACCTCTGGTTGAAAGCGGCAATTGATTCATCGAGCCGCGCCAATCAGTTTGAATTAGGTTCAGATCCTGACTCTGTCTCCTGATTGGATGATTGTATTAATAAAGCTCTCTGATTGGTTATAGATGTTTTATTTGAATCAATCAGAGAGCTTTAATACAATCATCCTATCAGGAGGCAGAGTCAGGATCTGACCCTAATTCAAACTGATTGGCGCGGCTCGATGAATCAATTGCCGCTTTCAACCAGAGGTTTATTTTTCCTCTCCCCTTCGCAATGAAAATAATAAAAATAAACCTCTGGAACCAGGGTATGTAAGCAAAGGCTTTGTTTACATACGGACTGTAGATCACCTTTAATATTGTTCTCAACTTTAACTGAGTCAACAAATTCACATGACAAATAAATTCATATAAATTCTCATGACAGCTACCCTAGATTCCAGAGCCTTCGACAGTAAATAATAGATTGAAACGTCGCGAAGGCTCTGGTTCAACGGGAAGATTCTTTAATTGATTAAACCGCGTCAATCACAAAACAGAATTAGTGTTTTTTATACATATTCTGTACTAAAACCACTGGCAGCCAACCAGTGCAGCTAACATGTGGTGGCCTGCACGCAGCACGCTACCTGCCTAAAATTCAGGTTGTGTGCAGCCTACTTACTTAGTTTCATTAATAATTTTAGATTCCACTGACTCGGTCACAGGCTCCGAAAGAAGGTTTTTTATTTTTGCACGCGGACATATTGGTTATGAGCGAAGGAAAGTAATATAATTTAAAATTAATGAAAGGTTCATCTTCAAAACATTTCAGTTCAATCAGTTGATTCAAAAATTCCTTAAATTTCCTTAGAATTTTCAAAAATTCCTTAGATTTCCTTGATTCCTTTTTTTTCCTTGAAACGTCTTTTTTCGGTCAAAATTTCCTTGAAAAAGGAAATTTCCTTGAAAGTGGAATCACTGTATGAGACTTTTCCACCCCCCTCTTGGGCTATCAATTTTCAATGGGTCACGTGACCAGCTCCGACCAGGGTCTTTGCTTCCCAAGAGCAAAGAGCCTGGGAACGAGGCTGGGTTTCAATATGCTGTGCAGAGGCAGAGCTTCCACTCCCCAAAAAATAATTTCCTTCTCCATAACCCAAAATTTCCTTTTTTTCTACAAAATTTCCTTCCAAAAGTCTCTACATATCCTTCCATTTTTCCTTCAAATTTTTATTAAAATTGTCAGATTTACCTGGTAATTAACATCTAAACTCTAGTATTAAGGCCACATCAATCTCGTTCCCAGAGTATGCCTGTTCGCGGGTTAGGTTGTGCCACAACCTAACCCGCGAACAGGCATACTCTGGGAACAAGATTGAGGCCACATAAAACAAATTACTGGCGTCCACCCATTTTAATTTTTCTAGGGCGTGCGGGGTTTTTTTGGGTTTTTTTCGTAAAATGCAATACAAAATTCTGCTAAATGCAGGAAATCCAGTATATTACCACAGTCAAAACTCACTTTAATTCTTTCAAAATCCGTCCATGTTTTTTAATACCGTTCATGTTTTTAATAAAACAGAAAATTACCGTTTGGCAGTTACGCGCGAACACTCTAGCTGCGAACAGGCATATTCTGGGAAGGAAACTTTGTGTAAACGTATTACATAGCTCCCAGAAGAATAAAATCACCATTTTTTCAAGTAAAACGGTCTTTTTTATGGCGAGTTTTTGCACTAAACTCGGACGGATTTAAAAAAAAAATAATAAAAAATTGGAGGTCGGGGACTTTTATCAGGTCGGGCGGGGACGCTAAACAAGTAATTTTTTTATGTGGCCTAATTTATAGCAGATAACTCTGTATTTTGCCGGTTAAAATCAACTCATCTTCTCCCTCGGGGGACAAAAAGCATAATAATTGGGGGCTTCTGCTGTGGGTGCGAAAAAAGATTCCATAATTGTTTCTTGCATTTCTCCCTTCTGGACACACACAAGAAACCCCTAGGGTCTTCCCTGCCCACGCTAAGGAACCCCCCCCCCAAGTAGAGTCTCAGAAATAATACCCTGGGTACGAGTTTGGTTGTTATTTCAATATAGCGATTCTGGGGTGCTGTGCTAGATACATAGTTGCCAACTTTGGAAAAAAACATCTGTGAAATCTCGCTTTGGGGGGCCCACGAGGGCCACCATGGTTGGCGCCGAGCGGAAAATTTTGAAAATATGGAGTCGCTAGATCGTTGGAAATGGGCAAATGGCATTTCCCTCCTTATAATAATATTTCCTCCCAATTTCCTTCCAAATGCTATTTCCTTCCAAATTTCCTTCCAAAGGCCAAAATTTCCTTCCAAGTGGAAACGCTGAGCCTGACATCCTGGCTGATCTGCTCCACCAGCCCAAAGAAAGAAAGAGTGATACTTTTAGTTACCACAGAATAAAGATCAGTACCAGAAGGGCCACTCAGCGGTGCAACGTGTCCCCATTTTTCTATCCAACAATGTGCAATTGACTGGCCAGAAGGCGGGGCCTCCAGCCAATACAGCGCGTGTAATCGACTGGAAATTGCTAGATAGTATACTTCAAAATAAGGTTTCCGTTTTTATATCAATTTTTTAAATAAGTTAGGGTTAGGTTAGGGTTATGGTTAGGTTAGGGTTGGAGTTAGGGTTAGGTTTAATATTAGGATTAGAGTTTAGTTTTGCGTTAGAATGGTTTTTTCTACGTTATAAAAACGGGAATCTTATTTTGAAGTATACTATCTAGCAATTACCGTAATGGACTGGCTAGGAAGATGGCGGCCAGGGTGCCCTTCTGTGTGCCTTATTCTGTGCTTTTACTGCTTTCTTCAAAGAAGCAGAGAAGAATTTAGCACAAGATTTTGAGGTTGCCTTCCAAGAAAGGAGGCATGGAGAACAGCTTTACCTTGCCAAAGTTGTCAGTATCCGTGACCTCCATGACAGAATAAAGGAAAGAGTTCCGGAAGGTATGTTTAATGTAGTAAGTTCCTTAGATGGTATAGGTGGGAAACGCACCATTAATTATGATTGCCTCTATATAGAAAATACATGCCAGTGTGGATTATAATTATAATAAACTGTTATTTATTCATATAGGTACAGCTGAGCTATCGACAAAATGGTAATCAAACATCTAATAGTTGATTTAACATTTATTCGTAATCCAAATCACCAAGTGACGTACTATAAATTTTCTAGCTATAACCACTCTGAATCATGTAGATGCCCATTACTGTGCAGCTTCATGGCGATACCTAACAGAGGATGGCTATCCAACACAGATCCATTGCCACCCTTGTGGCGAACCTTCATACCCGATTGCTGCACCTGAGAGGGGAAAACAAGTAATTGTTGGTACCAACCAAGTAATGGCAGTCGGAGACAATGATTTCACACCTTCAGCTAACTTTATAGTAAGTAATTTAGATTTACTTTGTGTATAATGTTGTTGCAAACTGGTCCACCCTTCTGTGTCTCTGTATGCAGTAAATCTAGCATTTCAAGTTCACTCAATCTATGTCTTGTTCTGTACCAACTGTTTCCGCAGATTGATGCCCCTGAAGACATCATTTGTTTTTCGCCCACCCCGGACCCATGAAAAAATTTTCATTTTTTTCGCCCACCCCGGACCCATAAAAAAATTTTCATTTTTTCGCCCACCCCGGACCCATGAAAAAATTGTCATTTTTTTGCCCACCCCGGATCCATGAAAAAATTGCCATTTTTTTGCCCACCCCGGACCCATGAAAAAATTGTCATTTTTTTGCCCACGTCGGACCCATGAAAAAATTGTCATTTTTTTTGCCCACCCCGGACCCATGAAAAAATTTTCATTTTTTTGCCCACCCCGAACCCATGAAAAAATTTTCATTTTTTCGCCCACCCCGGACCCATAAAAAAATTTTCATTTTTTCGCCCACCCAGGACCCATGAAAAAATTGTCATTTTTTCATGGGTCCGGGGTGGGCGAAAAAATGAAAATTTTTTCATGGGTCTTGATGGTTTTTCACAACCTCGTACCCAGGGCCTTTGCGCGGTTCAGAGGCTCTGGTACCATCCTCGGTCCCAGGGCCTCACGGCTGACACTGCGGCAACGCAGTGTCAGCCGTGAGGCCCTGGGACCGAGGATGCTCTGGTACGGGAAGCAAAGGCCCTGGTAAACACTGGTCATGTGACTCCAAAAATATTGGACATTTCGTAATAATTTAGTTTTCAATCCGGGGGGAGCGGAGCCGATTGATTTTATCAAACATGGCAGTGCGAAGGCGCGACGTTTTCGAGTTTTTATATTATTATGATAAATAAAACTTTCCTAGTGAGATTTAAGAGTGGGTATATATTATCTATGCATTCTACGAGCTTTCTTTCAACAAATTACGGAATAGCTAACGGTAATACTTATCAAAGATCGAAGGACGAAGATCAAACTGAGAGAAAACTAGTCGAGTGATCTGTCTTTAAACTGTCTATTTTGTATCCAATGCAGCTGCTTGTGTGCGACGTTTTATAAAGAATTAAACAAACATTGTTGATTATAAGTAATTTTTATGTATTGACCAAAGAATATCACTTGGGATTTTATTGTACTTTTATGGAAGGATAAATCAGATCAGAGGGGAGTCAGGGGACATCTATGGAAACGAAATTCTTCATGTGTATTATAAAACATGTAGTTATCAAAGCAGAATATTTTGAAACAATTAACTGGTCGAGTGACAGGTTGGTTTCCGTATGTATGTAGTTTAAAATACAGTTGTGAATGAAATTATACACAGTATCTTGAAACCTTTGTGTGTGTGAGTTAATTTCATATTTATTTTTTTGGGATGTATCATCTATATTTCTGTTTGTCTGGAAGGAGGGGGGGGAGGTACCAATCCTGAGAAATAATATACAGTGATCTTGAAACAACAAATTTACTACGAATCTGATATTAGTGATATGTGACTTAGGAGTCTTAAAGGCAAATAACAGTCTGTATACTGGGTGTGCATTCACCTATTTGTTTACATTTGCAGTTACTGTACATCGGTTCATGATTTATGAAATTTGAACCAAAGCTGTAACATAATATTAGTCACGGTACAAGTCACTAATAATTTTAGGGTAAATATTTTTCTGAAATACTTCATTTGTCAGTTGCATCTTATAGTATATACTGTAAGAATATCTTGAAAAAAAGCTGTAATTGAACCCTGTCTAGTAGCTTTGGTTCAATACAATTGGCAACTGCATGGGCTGTCTTAGAATTCATGAAAGACCTTTGCTACAACCCCAAGAAAACATGCCTTTTATCAGGAGATCAATTAAATTCTCTGCTTCAACCAGATTAACCACACAAATGTTATTGTCACCATTGTGACTACCGACACTTTTTACAAATAATACACTGGTAGTTGAGCACCAAGACTCTGACTGACATATCATACTTTGTTTTCAAATATCTTTGGCTTTGGTTAAAAACCAACAATTATACATTCTTAAACATTTTAAATACTTCAGCCTACATAATTTTCATAATGATGGTCAATTATTCCACTTACTGAGAATACTATAATTACCTCTTTACCATGGTCTCAAAAATTGGGTGTTTTGATGCATCATACTTTTGTCAGCAAAATTAAAAACCTATTTAGTCCTATCCGGCTATGCAGAGTTTTATTTGTATTGAGGAGGTAGGGCTTAGAGAGACACAGAGGCTTAATGAATATGGTTACACTGAATTTTGTCAGTAAGAAAATTTCATTTTTTACATCCTGAAACCAAAAATCACCATATTATGCATGAATTACATATCACTTTCACTTGTCACAGAGTGAACATACCAAATTCAAACAAAATTCACACTGTTTCTAGATGAAATAATCAACTGATTTTTTGGGCAAACAATATAATTCATGAGGGGAAAAAATAAATATTTATATGTGTGCACATAGTTCCAAGATCAGCTAACAGGATTGAAACCAGCTTTCCCAGTTATGCTTGGAGCTGATGAGAACAGTTAGTTTTGAACACAAAATGGCATCATGGGACTTAATTCATCTAGGTGGCAATATATTGCCTTCTCACCAACACAATTGATCAAGTCATACACATTCATTACTGCCAATCTCTTTATTATTTATGTCTCATTACAAATACAATATATTTTCATTATCAGCAGTATCCTTACAACTTGCATGTGCATCACCAATATCATCACAACTTGTATTTCACTACCTAATCATCATCATTATTCTCACCATTCTAATTTTATTAGTCAATCAGAATGAATAAAAAATTTCCTATTTTACACCACTCATATTATCATATATTACTTAATTGTCCAAGGTCAGGGCCATTTCACATCACTCCAGGATCTGAATACCCTGCAATCACCTTTTCGATATAATACTAAAAGAGAAACAAATGTCTTACTGGCACACTGGAATATCATAATTGCCATAAAATAACTGTCATTTGAAACCACATTCTGCTGTAACAGCACAACTGCTCAAGGTTGCAAGGTAAATAATTGGGATGTAGTAAGGCCAGTATTACTGGTAACTGTCTTTTTACATTTTGCTCACAACCAAAGTCCAATTATATGGAGCAAAAGTTAGAATATCCAGCCACTTTTTATTACTCACTTAATCGTACACTTGACAAGTAAAATTGTCTGGTGTTGGACAGAGAAAAATAACAAAGTATGCCATATTTGATTATCCCATATGCCCATTACTGTAGTGTGACTACACAGGACTCTCCCTTGGATGGGTAAAATTGGGGGCTATGGAGATTTAATGGCAAGAAGTGAGGGAAACATTTTCTCCAGTAAAATTTATGGGGGCCATTGGAAATTTATGGGGGCCATTGGAAATTTATGGGGGCCATTGGAATTTTATGGGGGCCATTGGAATCATCAACCAGAGTATTGAGGCGATAAAGAAAAGAATACCTGACTGTAAAATTAATGTAATCTAACTTTCTTGTCACACAAAGTTGGGTAACGTTGGCATTTTTACACTTTTCTATTAATATCACACTATTCTGTTAAGTATTTATTGGATGAGTCAGAGACCAATGGATTGGTATGAGGGCAGTTAATTTGTAATTTTTGCATGTATTCATTTATTAACTTTTGACTACTATAATGGTCAGCCAGTTAAATAAGTATCTTACTGAGGGTACTGTCAAACTATTTTACATGTCAAATAGAACTCCAGTTATGAAAGATTGAATATTTTCTGAGCAAGCTGGAAGATAAAATTTTGATTTTAGTGAACTAAGTGAAGGATATAGATAACCAAAAAATATATCAGGCATGAAGGAGGGTTTATATTCAAAAGCGAAAGATGGAGGAGTAATTAAACGAAGAAAACTAATTATACAAACAGACAGCCACGAATCTGCTGGAATTTAGGATATATAAACTGATAAATATTAAAAGATATGAGAATATAATTTTATATATGCATCATAAAATCGTTTACCTCGAATATACTGCATTCTTTATAGCATAATTCAAAA